AGTTGATAAGCAAGGATTATCTAAATAAAATGAGTCTTAGATCTCCAGGAACCTTAGCTCGTATCTACATACAATAAGCTATGGGTGCAATGTCGAAAGATGCAGAATCTAATAGAGAAAGTGCATTGCTGCCATAACCACCACTGTAGCCGGACGGCATCAGGAAGTCACCAGTGACTACCTATGCATAGACATAATCATCTCGCGTTGGGTAGCGCGATCTTTGCTTGTCTCCGACAAAGAAGCAAGGCCTGCGACATATTAGTATGTGGTTGCATTGACAGAAGGGAAGCCCTACTCCGGAGTTCGCCCACGACATCCTTCGCTTTACCAAAGTAGACCTCCTCTATAAGCACAACCAGTTTAGTAAACATTTCAGAGACGTAGACAGTAACACGTACGCAGCAAGTTCCTCATCTTCAATTCCATATCCTCAACGAGTCGGCCAACATTGGCAACGTGGCTCGCATCGGACTCCACCGGCAAGTCCATCTCCACTTGTCGGGTCATGTTACCGCTCAGATCCATCTCTCCCAGGGACTCGTTCTCGTTAGCCAGATGAAGAATCACAGTGCTAGTCAGCTTGTAGTGTGACATGCGAGCCCGATCGGTAGCTTCAAACACGTGGATGCTGTCCCATTCTCCCGAGCTCTTCGCACCCGGCGTCACCCCTGAGACACATCAGCACAAAGGTCAATCTCACAACTTCACGCCCTTCTCCAGATCATATATCTATTCACACACCCTTTTTCAAAAGTATGACGCCCGCAAACCCATCATCCAGATCCCAGAAGTAAACGCTGCCTACACCACCCTCGTAGTACAGCTCCCGGTAGACGTCGAAGGCCTCGTTGGCCGCCATTTCGAGCTTCCTCACCCGCTCACTAGGAACCGTGCCGTCATCCAATGGAGGGTCGAACTCGTTGCTCCAGGGGGACCGGTAACTATCTCCATCCCGGTTGTAATCGCAGAGCAGATAGTCGCGGTTGGTCTTGGGGCAGCGGCGGATCTCGAGGGGCTGGTCAACGGAGGATAGAAGATCTTCAGTAAGGTCAGGGATAATGGTTGTAATAGCCTGAAGGTTTTGCTTTGTGTCGCGGGGATTCAACCGCCGGAGAAGGTCGCTGGTTGCGGTTACGGTCAGCTGGTGGCTTCAGGTGGGGTACGGGGTTTAACTGGGCTTCGTTGGTTCGGAGTGGTATAGATTGCGGATACTGAGTCAGAGATTGTCTGGGAAAGAGGCACTTACAGAGCGCTGTCGAATTGAGCGTCAGCCATGGTTGGTAAGCTTCAGCAAGTGTCTGGTTGGTATTGTTGTTTACTCCGTTCTCCAGACCGATCTCAAGTTAGCCGGAACGGAGGTGCGTGGTTGGGAGAGTGGGGGCCGTGGCATTTGTGCTTAACCTTAAAAATCAAATGTTTGCATGAAGCATAGCATGTACATCAATATGTACGTTCAGCCCTGATTTAAATATCTATCACCCGGACTAGATTGAATCCTCTTCTAATAGTCTAATTCTACTAAGCAAATGGCTATAAGCTACTGTTCAAAATCACAAACACCACTAATCTAGCAAGGTACCGGTCTCTCTATCACCAACTAGTTGACTTTGGGCACACTGCACCTAGAACCATAGTCCACAATGTGCTAATCATGGGCTTTCAAGTGCGGTAGAACCTGTATTGGTGTTATCTCATGATATGGGGGAATTATCCTTGATATTACTCGTAAAGGTGGTCTTCAAGATATGGTTCTTGACCTCATGCATGTGAAGGAGATTCTGATAGCAAGATAAGCAGGGTTTAATATATGCTTTACTTCGTGTAGTTCAAGATGAACCCTACCAACTGTATATAGTTAGTCCTATGGAACTTAAGGGGGTATAATGTGAGGTTTATATGGTGTTAGGTTATCCTTCACCATTGTATCATCATATGAAACGGTCAAACGGATTGAGACCAGGGACCCTGGATGATAAGTAGATAACAATATGAGCCAACTAGAAATTTCTCAAGTTGTATCAACAACCTCAACTAAAGTCTAGGCATTGATGTGGGCTGATAAATCTCGGAGAGTTACGCTAGGCAACCTACTTTTGCATCTCGCTATGCGTTCTATGTTTTACCTATGCATTCCCCGCGATCTCCATGATCCGACACCAAACAACATATAGATCAGCCATCATGGAGGAGAGAATATTCCCACCCTGCATTACTCCCCGCTATTCTAGAAGTTGTAGTCCACACCATGTCCTTTCGAACGGTTCTCGTTTTTCACCCAGCTCCTAAGGTGATCAAAACCACCCTCAATCGAACCGAGCGACTGAACGCCCTCAATCAGACACTTCTTAATGAGTTGACGGCTACTTTGCAAAGTCATGCAAATGCGCAAGTCATAATCTTGGAAAGTGCCAGTGACCATGCCTTTTGCGCGGGAGAAGACCTCAAGGAAACTCTTGCTCCAAAGCGGGACCTGCAGGAGAGCTTCATGTCGCTTTTAAGCACCTGCAGAATATCACTCGGCTCACATCCTCGGGCCCCGCAGTTGTCGTAACTGCTGTGCAAGGTTACGCAGTGGGCGGAGGAGCGGAAATTGTTTTGGCTGCCGCTTCGTGGTGGCGGGCCCAGATGTGAAGTTCAAGTTTCTAAAGTGACGCTCGGCCAGGCAGTGAGGGGGGTTATTTCATTGCGGCTGTCCCATATGGTCGGCCTGCTCAAGGCTAAAGAGCTTCTGATCCGCGGTCGGATAGTCAGTGCAAAGGAGGCATTGGCCATCAGCCTAGTAAACGAGATAGCTGAAAATCCGAAAGTTCGTGCTGAGCAACTGGCGTTGGAGTTGGCGTCTCTCCCACGAGCGGCATCTTCAAGCCTCAAAATGTCTCTGGAAAGAGCGGTCTTTCCGAACATGGAAATCGCACTGCACGAAGAGGTAAATGCAGCCAGCTATTGTTTCGTCCGGACGGATGCTGCCAACGCTTTCTAGAATTTTGCCGACAGGAAGAAGGATCACCATAGGGTTCGGGATATCAATACAGCTCTGAGAGAGGCTGCGGGTAACTGTCCGACCAAAGTGTTTCTGCGAAGCCAAGGTCAGGATATCACGTTCCAGGATTTTGGTCGGAGCGTAGCCGCTCTTGCTGGCGCGTTTCGGAGAGCGTACAAGCTGGTAATCAAGTTCTCGCCATGATGAGAAACAGCGCGGAGATGGTCCATACATGGATAGCAACCAAACGTCTAGGTGCTGTCTGGGTCCCTATCAACACAGATTGACGGTCATCCACGCTGTATCATGCGGTCTCTGCAGCTGATGCAACGGTAGCTATTGTAGACCATGAACTCTTCAATCTGATCCAGGACACCGGTGCATTTACAACTAAAAGCATATGGATCCGCGGCAGTGACAGTAAACGGAGTCTGCCGAATCATTATGACCGAGAAGTATCCCTCGAGGAAGCGTTTGTAACAAAGCCTGCCACCATCTCTGCATTCCTGTATACTAGCGGTACCACGGGAAAATCCAAACTATGCATCATCTCACACGAGTACTTCATCATTCAAGCCACACTCCTCATAGAAGGCTACAAGCTTCAGACAGACGATGTTCCCTACTGTCCATCTCCATTGTTTCATGCCGACGCAACGGCACTCACCGTCATCCCGGCAACTCTGCTCGGAGCCACAGCTGCCCTGGCCCCAAAGTTTACCGCGAGTAGATTCTGGGACGAGATTCGGGAGACCGGAGCAACAGTGTACGACTTCATGGGTGCGACTCTTGCCCTTATCTACAAACAGCCTCCAAGCCTTCGGGACCGCGACCACCATGTCCGTCTCGCATGGGGTGTTCCAATAAGAACTGTCTCGGCATGAAGTATATTTTTACCTTGCCTTGCCTTACCTTGCGTGGGCATTGTGTGAGCGAATGACTAACGTAAAGACACAGTCTGGCCATGGCCGAGTTATCCCTCAGTTTGGCTGTGCTCCACCGGCCGAACGGGCCAAAACTGGAGCTCTATGAGACGGACGAAATAGACGTGATCCAGGAGCATGATTTCATGATTGCGTTTCCGAAGATCACTGTAAAGGGGTGAGGGTCATGGTAGGTACAGTGATGGCCGGGTTCAGTCGGTTCTGGCTGGATACATGGGTTTGTATTTATGTAGCTACTGTGACAACCACTGTAAGCAGAGTGGAGGGGTTGAGATATAGGACAGAATAACTTTGTGGTATCTGTTTCTTTACTAGCTACTAATCAACACGCTGTATTAGAAGCTACTTTAATATGATAGGTCACTAGACACAGTTGCTGATCGCGGCCGTGTGATCTAACTGGACGCTTACGGGCTAAAGTAGGTCATTGTGTAGTGCAACGCACCATGTAATCCCACAGTCCTAACCTCCATGTCTTTCTCAATCAGGCTTGAAATGGGCTACAATGCTTGCATTGCAGAAGCAACTCTAAAATCACAATATTGCAAGATCCCCCAAGATGTGTGAACGCCGCGAGAATATAGAGTATTGATAGAATCCACCCTCTAACACCGTTTCAAGGCAAAACAACCTCAGTTCAAGAGAGGAGTCTTTATGTTAGAAACCTGCCAGTCTTCAAGAGCATCTTTTCATCATATCAATACATTGATTGAACTGTGATATTTATCTACTCTCCAGGTATCAATAAGAGAATATCCGCCTAGAGAATTGCAGGGATAGAGGTTTGCATTAGTAACCAGATAAACTGCTTTTTGCAAGTTATAGAAGCAAAGCCTATCGTCCCCAACTCAAAAGCAATCGAACCTTCACAACAGCGTCCTATTGGCCGAGCGTTGGTAATGTAATGTTTTTCAAGTCTTATAGGGTTTTCACCGCCCACATGACTTTAGCCACTCTAGTCTTTCACTAAAAACAGTAGAAGCAAAAGGCCTTTTGGTCCCAACTCGAACCTTTTATCCCAAGTCCTTATCGTAGGTCATCTAAGCTTAAACCAAACCAAATTTCACAAGCACGGCCTATTGGCTCAATGGTAGAGCGTTGGTCTCCTAGTATGGTAAACCAAAGGTTGTGGGTTCGAGTCCCATGTAGGTCGTATTTTTGCATCTCTTTTTAAAGAGATGTCAGAGGGGGTGGAATGTGGATTGTGGTGCATTTATTTACGGAACCACTCCGCGTCATCATCTGAAATCTTATTGAAAAGGCTGGTCAGCCTGGGCTTACAGGGTATTAATCAATAGCTTGACAGTAAATCTCTCCTTATTGGTGTGCATTAGCACGACTCCTCCCGTCCCTCTTAACCTTAGGTCGAGGGATTACTTGTACATACTAAGCGGCACTATATAATACCGGTACTCGGACGAGATCGACCCGAATACCTACGACGACCACTCTCTAGCCAGCGGGATGTCCCTTCGAGTGCATCGCGACGCATACTCAGAGATAAAAGGGTCGCTCCGTGCCCAAGCCGACTGGAGTTTGACCATCCAGCTAGTGGCCTGGTATGTACAGACGGACTAGGCCCTCGGTATAGTTTCATGCAGGCCACCATGCCGGAGTGCTTACCAGGGTGGCTAGAGGTGATTTGCATAAGCGAATGAGTTCGCCGTTCTTTACGATGGTAAGGGGTGTCCAGGAGTGTTCTGGCGGACCAATTGATCTTTGACCTCCCTGACCAGTTCACCGGATGAAATGGTTGAGACTCATTGATCTGGAACGGGAACAAGTCAATATGGCGTTAACATTAAATGACCTCCTTTTCCTTTTTTTTTTTCTTTGTTTTCCCTCTGCCTTTCCATACCCACAGAAATACAAACCACAGCTCGATGGTCAACCAATATTCCCAATTTTTTCCCTCCCCATCCAACCTTCACCCCTAAGCACGTCCCTTGCAAGTCCTGTAAGGTGATCCTCATCACCGGTGCCGCCTCTGGCATCGGTTTCAAGGTAGCCAAATCTGCATCGCCGGCCGCTCCGAAAGGAAAGACCAAGCCGCCATCCAAGCCATCCAGCGTGCCGTTCCCCAGACAGAGGGAGGCGATCGCCCCGGCGAGCTAATCCTCCTCCCGCTCCACCTAGACGACCTCACAACCATCAAAACTACCGTCGATGCCTTCAAAGCAAAAGAAACCAACTTGGACCTGTTATTCAACAATGCTGGCGTCTCTCAGCCCCCCGTGGGTAGCGTCTCAAAACAAGGCATCGAACTCCAACTCGCAACCAACTGTCTAGGCCCGTTCCTGCTCACCCGTCTGCTGCTCCCCAGGACATGATTACGGTTGCAATTTTTTTATGTTTTATGTTCCAGTGACTTTCCTCGCTATCTATTGCCTGCTGGTGTTATTTCGGGTTAGTGGTCTCCACCTCGGCAAACCTACCAGTACAGTCAGTACGTACCTAGTAGGGAGTACTACTCCCTAGGAGACCTGCAATGATCAAGTCTCAAGACAGATTGGAGTGTTTTCTAATATGAAATCAAGCAATTACTCCATGGGTAAAGCAACAATAATTTATGACTTCTTGTTATTGAAATGTTCTTGCTTCTCTAAACCCATTCAGTATGGTAATCCCATACCAAATATCTTTATCATTGAGCTCCGGAGCTGCAGCCGGCCCGCCGCTACTACTTAATGCTAGGGAAATGCCGGTCTCACGCCGATCACTCACGCACAAGCCAGCCCCTTGCTGTATCAGAATAGGTCGACCTCATGAACAATTAATGGTCTCCCACTTTGAATTATCTACTTGGTTTGAGAAATAGCTTGTCAGTCCGGTAGTGCAATTGTACGCATGAAAAACAAGTCGATTACAATTCAACCTAACTAAACCTTTTTAGTAATTCTATACTATGATTCAGAGTCGAGTCTGGGCCGGTGTTTGAAGGATACGCCGTGGAAGATCAGGACCTTGAACACGAGCAGGGCGTGCAAGACAGTGTTCTCCTGAAGGCTCTCGTCGACCTCCCGAAACTTTCGGATCAGTACTGAATCACGGCGCACGAAACCTTCCTCCACTGACAGGGCAAAGGGCTGAAACTCAAGGCGGCGGACTTGGACTGCTCAAAGTCGAAGCAAGAATCGACCGTTCTTGCTTTTCCGGAAGGGGAGGGTCGGGTCGTTACGCAGGTCGTTGCTTACGCCTTTCATCTTTTCCAGGTCCTCGTCGGTGGCTCCCAGGACCTTCAGTATAGGGATCATTTGGCCTCCTTTCACAAAGATCAGGCGTTTTTGATGAAATCTTCCCGGAGCCGAATGAGGCCGGCAACCACGACCCGAGTTTCTGTGCTCATATGTTCAATAGCCTTTTTGAATGAAGTTCGTTGAAAGAGTCAAGCGCCAATTGCCCAAGAGGTCTGAATGGTTGAGAATGAATCGAAAATAACGAGTTATCTGCTTGAATCCGGGTGGCACTTATACGGTTCAGTTAATGACCGATGACCCAACCGATCACTCAACCAAGGACACAGAGGTAATACAGTTTATTGCTCTGGTATGTCATCTCGTATACATACTGTGGATCCTTGGGATTCGTAAGTTCATGTACAAACTGATGATCAGTGGATGTGTTATTCACAGCTGAAAAGTCGTGATTCATGCATGCCAGACTCGGTTTCAGCCTCACCTACAGTCTTCAAAAGGCCCAACATTCCCCTTCAGCATCCCTTGAGCTTAAGTTCAGCTCAGCTTCTAGTCTCCCACATACTGATCTATCTCACCAGAACCACCGCAAAGTCCTAGCCCAAAGAAGGAGAGAAGCAGCTATGTCTCAATATCTAGAAACTTCGGATATAAAGCCCTTATACCAGATATAGAAACTGGATAAAACATGATTTCTGTATACCAACCAAGAGATTCATCGCTGAAAATCCGATTTATGATACAATTGCTCTTTTGCGAGACTGTAATCACACTTAGAAAACATTCAACTTTCAAGTAGTCGCTAGTAAACCCATGAAAGTCCTTCAATTCAAGGAGTATATTATCTACGATTTAAACTTCAATGGCTTATCTTTTCTTGTTATTGAGTAGTCCTTAGTTGATTCCAATTCTAACTTGACGAAATATCTTTATACCAGATTGATCTAATAGTTGCTAAATTGCGATTATCAATGAGCTGTAGCCAACCCCTTACTGCATTAAGTTAAGCTGATGTGAGACCAAAATGTGTTGATGACGAAGGGTTTGGCGTAATAAAGAGGCTCGCTATGAGTTGCCTTCCAGGTGGAGCCCTAAGTACACTATCATACTCCAACCGAATTCGGTGAATGGGACTATCTACTAAGCAGTAGTGCCCTGAACAAAATAATTTTCCAAAATGACCCATGTCAAACTGCGAGATATAGTCACTACCCTGCTGCAGGAGAAACTACTATTATTGTAGACCTGCAGACGTGGAAGGAAAAATAGCCCGAACGAAGGGAACACCAACAATCAGACTGTGGTTGATTTAGAGCTGCAGGAGAAGAGCACATCGGAAAGTCGGTTAAATCCGTCCAATTGGCCCAGTGTAAGCCATTCTTCCAGAACCGTGAATATGTTCTAACGGAAATTGTTTCAGCAGCGAAAAAAATTCTTCGTGGTTTTTGTCCGCTCTCCTGACGCTCTTTAACAGCGCCTTCGATTCGACCATCCCCAGCGGTGGAATCCGCTTCATCACTACGAGCTTAGAGGTTTTCAAGATGAGATACAACGAGTGCTACCAGCTTCCGTTTTCCTGGTCGGATACGTCATGGGCCCGAAGGCCAAAGGGCGCATGAGCGAAGTATACGGTCGACGCAGAGTGTTTGTCGGGACCTTCATCGGCTTCACCATTTTCACTCTAGCCTGCGCCATTGCCCCGAACTGGCCCGCTTTGATTGTCTTCCGGACGATTTGCGGCATCTGCGCATCCACTCCCATGCGGTGACAAGGGGGGTTATTCGCAAATATCTACCGCTCTCCTATTTCCCGTGGGCGGACCATGGCGTTATCAACGGCCGTAAGCACGAGAACTCCCTATGTACATGATGATATTTCTCTGACATACGTTTTCAGGCCACCACCGCTGGCCCATAATTCGCTCCCTTGATTGCAGGGTTCGTCGGACCGGTGGGATGGAGATGGATATTCTGGATCTCTTTGATTCTCATAGGCGTGACTCTGGACCCCGTCCTGTTCCTTCCGGAAACGCGAGAACCAGTTCGTAAGCATGAAGATACCAAGCCGAGCAAAACGGTCGGCTCCTGGGCATTTACACGACCACTGTATATGATCCTCTGCGAGCCAATAATCTTCCAAGGCATATACGGCATGAGCGACGGAATCGCAGGGCTAGCCTTTCTCCCAAGTAAGAACAATGCCACAAGTACACACCTACCAACAAACTAACCCAAACAACCCGTGATCCACTCGCAGTCGGAGCCTGCATCGGAGTGGGTGTCTTCCTAGCCTACGACTCATATCTCCAGGGTGCGAAGTTACGAAATGCCAGCTGGTCCCATATCGAAGTGTATCAACGACTTCCCCTAGCCTGGCTGGTGGTGGGGGACCGTTGTACGTCCTGGCTTTATTCTGGCTGGCTTGGACCGCCACCCCGGAGATTCACTGGGTCGTGCCCATGTTGGCTGGGGTTCCGTTCCGAATGGCGTTCTTTCTCATCCTCGTCGCCCTCATGAATTACATGGTGGATGCTTATTATGAGTACGCGGCCAGTGCCATGGCGGCGGCAAGCTGCTGTCGTAGTATTTTCAGGGCTGTTCTACCGTTAGCGGCTGCGCCTATGTTTCATACGTTGGGGATGGGGTGGAGATGCAGTCCTTTGGGGGTTTTGAGTGTGCCGATGGCGTTTATTCCTTCGTGTTTATTCGCTACGGTGATCAGATTCAGTCCAGGAGCAAATTTCTACAATAGACTCTGGGAAGAGGTATGGTTGGGAGCAGATGGCGCCACTCAACAAATTTATTGAGGACGGTCAAAAGGATAGACATATGGTACATCTAGAGCATCTATCGCCATAGAAACCATATAATATAGCGACAAAAACGCCTTGAAAAATTCCTAACTTTCAACCGAGTTATAGATCTGAACGGGAACCTTCACCCTCAACGTCCTCGAACTC